TCATAATTAAGAAATTAACTTAACGACGACATATTTAATCCAAATAATGAAAACTCCTAGTTCGGGTGGCGCGAAACAATAAAGAACCCAAAGTTCGTATCCTGTTAAAAATAAACGCACTACAAACATTCTTTCGTTATCGCCTATCGTGAACCATTTTCGCGCGACTGGCTTAAAGTACACACATTCATACTCTTTGTGAAGAAACATTTTCGCATTACTATGAATTTAAGTATACGGTGTAGAAACGAAACCCTTTTGTAAAATATCAATTGGATTATCTGTTCACTAGTTTTGTACTAGTTAAAAAGAATAGAGAAACTTTCCTGGTCAATAAGACCGATTATAACCCCAACGTTTCGTTATTTTCAAAATTTTCCCCGGAATCTAATTTGATGAAAATTTTAAGACAGCAATCGTTCTCAACATTCAATCCAGTCGGCATCTAATCGTTATAAGCAGTTTGTTCCATGGAGTCTTTATAAGTCCGTTCATTCCAACAAACATTAACAGAAAAAGTACTTTAACCATCTATTGTTCATTGCTTGGGTCCGTTTGGTAAAAAACAAATTAAGAGGGATACAAAATTCTCTTTCATTGTTGCAATGTAATAAATGTTACTGTTACATAGTGTAAGAAGTTGCAGTTTTCTTAGTTTCCGATTACTAGTGATTCTTCTTAGTTAAATACCCGACGCCTCATTTTTCCAAAATCGTTTTGTAAATATCAGGCAAGATGGATTAACCACTAACAAATCAGTGAGAGATTGCCATTAGCGTATTAAATCTTGCAGTTACAAAGATGGAAGCAAAACTAAAGTAAAAGGGGTAAATACAATAATTATATTTGTTTACTTAATTTTTGTACTTATTAATATTCCTGTTTTTTCCACACATGTTTTAAGGCAGTGTGGAGCCTAGGATTTAGTTTTTCGAATCATGTTTTGATGAACACTAAATGAGTAAGTCATTTAATAGTGTGGTTTTTGAACCCACGTATCTTTTTATTTATTTTAATTTAATTTCCGCTTTCATACCTTATCGTAGGTGACTGATCCTTTATCAAGTTGAAAGCAAAGTTAACTGGGTCATCTTCTAAATATTTCATCATATCATTGCAATGTTGTAAGCGCCTCTTTCTTATGTTATCTGCATCATGCATGGATCCAGCACAACGCTTCATTATAATTCAGTAAAACCAAGCACGCAAATTAGAATTAACAATCACTTAAGAAACAAAAAACGCGTGAAACAACTCGGTCCCCAAAATCAGCGTTCAAAGTTTTCCAAAGGATCTTGTTCTAAGCCCTCCCAACCAGAAGTTTAACCGATCGGCTGATCTGACTTTAGTCTGATTCAAACTATTCTTTTGACATGTAGAGAACAGAACGAAACAGACAGATGGACAACTCTGAATACTAACACAACAATAATTTATTATTCATGATCTTACTTGAGGTGTGTAGACGTTCAGGTACAGGCAGTCTTCCGAACCTCCGGGTGAACTGAACTGGATACATTTGGCAGCATCTTGAGTCGCATTAACTAATTGACCTGACAGATTTCCTGGAAAGGCAACTGGCGGCTGTAAAGACTTGCGGTGGTACATTGAAATTAACTGGTAAATAACCTTAAATCGAAGCTCCCCGATTGGTGGTAGAGCAAACGGTATCGCTCGAAATGTAAAGTAGGTTTTTTGCTCGTCAACAGTTTTATTCACTCTTCCAATTATTTTCATACCATTTTTGATTTTGACAACTGGTTGCTGATAATCCTGCAATAGTAGATGGATGTATTTGTTACATTACGTGTAAATTACAATCACTCGCGCTGTAAACTTTTCTGAAAGACGTGAACCATCTCTTTGTGGTAAACAGACGGTTACAACAGTCAAAGCACATATAGTCAGAAACAAGACTGAACATGTCACAGTCATTGTAGAAATTCTAAAAGATTGCTTATTTGTAACATGTTATAGCTTTTGTGCACAATTAAATATTTGAATAGCATCAGATAAGGTACTTCATGTGTGGGCGATAAAAACGTTAACAGTTAATATTTATCGGTATTTGTACACCTACAATTAGTAATAAGTTCACTGACAGTTACCTGTAATAGTTATTTACTATTACATAAAAGGAAAATGACACATTACTGGCGAGGGAACGTTGAAGTACAAGGGCCCGAGTACATTAATTTCCTAGTCAGTAATGACAATTTACTGACGAGTTTTGTATTAAATTTTACCCGAAATCATATTTTAATATAAAATTTCAACTTTTGATTAATGCCAATCTGTCAATGATGACAGGAGTCACTATAGACATATAGCAATGTGACAGGTGCGGCAAGAAAAGTGACAGCTGCGGTTGGTAAAGTGACAGCCGGCAGGAAAAGTAGGCTGGTCTGCCTCCCTCAAGGAATCTAACATTTCCCTGACATAAAGTAGGCATAAAAATGAAGGTTTCATGACTATTTCGGATAATAGTTATTTGTATAACTAGAGAAGAAAGTGGAGTTTTTCAATTCGAAGTTAAAGTTTTTGACACATGAGCGCAGCGAGTGTGTCAATTTGAACCAGAGTTGAAACGCACTTTCTTCTCATACGTAATTTTTTCTCAAACTCCAATCAAAATTGAAAAATTATCGTATGCAATAATGACGTTTGACACATAGCAATCTATGTACGGGTATGTTTCAAGTTTAAATGTGATTATTAAGATTATCCTAGCAATTTTTTTAAGAGAGGAAAGTTACATTTTCTTCACCCTTTTTAGAGACCAAAGTAGTTGTTTCTGGAGTAGTTTCAGAAAAAGAAGTAAACACCGCCACCATTTTTAACTTCATCGGGGAATAGGTAAGACAAATTGGTGATAACCACATCGGCATGCCACAAGCTACCGTTTTAAAGAATCAGATTTAGGAAGGGAATTTAGATTAATGCATGGGTGTTCTAGAGGGTTCTTTAGGGTTTTTTGAGATATTAAAAACGTATACAAGGTTTTGCTTATCATGGAAGCACAAACATATCCATAGTCCAGGAAATATATAATTTTAGTATGCAAAATACATGGTAGTTCTGGACTTGTTTTATGTTTGCTGTGTCTATGAATCCGAATTTTCAACTACCAACCAACAATTCCCCCGCAACCCCTCCAAATTTTGAAAAAAAATATCGCTTTTTTTTAAAACCGTCTTGTAGACAATAAATGCGACAAAAAGATCATATGATATTTTGAGATTAAAGGAGGGAGGGGGTTAAAACAAAAGATAAAGCGGGTGAAGGGAGAGCGAACACGAACGCTCCCTACGTGCTTAGTACGTAAACATTTTTTAGGATGTTTTTGGTTGCATACTATATCTACATTTCAAATTTGTAAGTATTACAAAAAACTATTTCTTAAAAAACATATTCTTTTCTTATTTTTCAAGATTTTGGGGTGTTGCGGAGGGAATTTTTGGTGGGAAGTTAAAAATTTGGATTCATCAACCCAAAAAACATAGTTAGCCTGTTTCCAGAACTACCATTAATTTTGTAAACTAAGATCCTCATATGTTCTGTATTGCCTGGACTATATAGTCAAGAATCTTCCAACAGGAACTAGTGATCCCATGGATTACTTCAATAATGCAACTTGTAGAACAACTGGCTTCAGATTTAGCGCTGAATCACAAATCGTGGTTCGAGAAGCCATACGTAAACTAACAAATTTGCTGTGGCCAGCACAGGTACCACCCTCACATATGCCCATGCGCGATTCCGCCCTTTAATATCTGGAAATAAGTGTACCAAATTTGGTTCCAAACTAGCCGGAAATAAGAGTACAGACGGACCGACAGATCTACATAATCGAGATTTTGTTTGATTCGGATTCCTTGTATTTCCATAAAAAAAGTGGGGGGGTGATTTTTTACCCCAATGCAATGTAATACCTCCTTTACTAACGTGCATGTAGTCCAGGAAACGAAACTTAAAATTGTATAAAACCTCCGGAAACTTTTCAAAATGCATCGATTTGCATGAAAATTTGGGATTAAGTTCTATATTATGCCGATGGGCGATTTTCATTTTATAGGGGTGAAAACTAGCCCTTTTTGCCGAAATCCGTAAAACAAAGTGAGTAAAATTTGCGCAGTTGATGTTTAATTAAACAGCAGAACGCGTTGAATTTTAATTGCCCCCATCCATATATGTTAATATTTGGCGATTAAATTCCGTTAATTGGGGATTCCGCGCCAATTTGTGAATGGAATTTCGCCCGTTAACTCCAGTAGGAGGATATAGTTACTCTTGTTCATTTGATTGTAAGTACGCCATTTGCATTTAATCTGTCAGCATATCTTCTTTAGGTTCCGGTTGATATTTAATACGATTTTCCATCGACGATTGTTGCAGATTCATCTATAATTGGCCCTCTTGTTTAAAGAGGTATATGTACATTTTTAAGTTTATCAACCAAGAAGGTTACCTTCGTTTTTCTTTTAGGGTTCTAATTTTATGAATTAGGCCACCTGGATCATGAACGGAACTTGATAACAGGATTGGATCCTCAACAAGGAAACAACTGCCGTAATCTTCACCGTAGCAAAGTAGCTATTTTTATCACTTTCAATTAATTTGTTACCTTCAGTACGGATTCATTACCTTTGCGAACTCTGTTAAGTTATGGTCGACTTTTGCACGCGAAATTTATGGTATCCCGCCACTTCCTTCTGGAGAGGTTGGTCGAAAAAGTATCGTACTTGTGAGCTTACTGCGAGTAAGTCGAGGCCCTTCAGGCATTGTTCAGTTCATTACATTCCGAACTCAGCAGCTTAGGAGTTTTCTTTTGTTGCAGATTTTATGGATCCGGGAATTGAGCTCACTTTTCTGGATAACATCTAATTAATCAAGGTGAGCGTTGCATTTTTATGTTTTGCCAATATACGTGCGCATTTGTGTTCGGATCAATTTCTTTGTGGAAACTTGCGTCAAGATCAAGTCATTGGAGATGACAACCTGAAGGGCGAAGATAGAGCTCACACCTATTTGAGACAAGGTTACGCCGCGCGCACGTGAATTATTCAGGATAGACATCCCACCTCGGCCCTCTCACTAGAACCCTAGGCCAATATATGAGTAACATCGATATATGTCCCTCATTTCCATGCACCTGCAGGTTGAGAGCATCCCTATAACTGTTGTTAGCAATGGGGCTTTAGATTTTTCGTATCGGGTCGACACCATGACTTATTCGACCGCGTCATGGACTCATGCTCACTAAGGATACCACCATAAAATATCGGTCCTACAGTGTGTTTAATTACCTGAAAATATATGAAAAATTATTTGAAAAAAATTCAAAACTAGAATTGGACGGACGTTTTGGTTCTTTGGTTTTGGCCCACTTGTTTCAAATTTCCAATCATCTCGGTAACGCGATCGGGATTAAACAAGTAAACAATTTTCTTTCTTTAAGAAACTAATATCTACTCGTACTACAAAAGATCAGATCAAATGTTATGTAACAAATTTCGACTAGCTGCAAGAGTAAAGCCTTCCGTATCAGAAGTGGATTCAGATGTACGCTTATAAATTTAAAACTGTAGAAGAATAGATGGAGGAAAACAGATGGTTCGCGATAGTGTCATTTTATTATGCAGCTTGACGTAGAAGAATGCTCTTAAAAATAAAAAACCGAACGTTTACTTAAAATCTAAATTTAAGTTAAGAAAAGTTTAAGAATAAAATCTTTTAGAGAAACAAGCAGAAAACGTAGCAACCGAATCGTTAGCTGTAACATCGTTGAACTTTAAAACTAATAAAAAGGCCAAATGAAGAGTAAATATGCAAACTGTTTCTCAAAAGAATAAAGAAACAGGAAAGTGTTAAAATCCCTAAAGAACTTTTTCGTGTAAACTTTTATAGTCGCAGGACTATAAATTTGATCAGACTTATTAGCATACGTTTATGAACTTTGCGATCCTTAAACGAGTTGACGGTTTCGCAAGGGCTGGTCTCGCGAAAAGGCTTCTGCATTGTACGAATGCAAAGTAACGCGCCCTCTCCCCCATCCGGCAACATAAACAAAACTCGACTCTAACTTTTCGTCACTCTTAAAACCCTTTTAAATACTTAGGGTTTACGTACAGATCTTAAATTATAATTATCGCAGAAAGACGGCTGCGGCTATTATTTTAATAATTCCCCACTTTCAAACTTTTGCAGTTTAATTGTTCTTTAAAGAGCTTCTAATATGGTACATTGAGCGGATGCGATCCTTCAAAGTGACTCTGAAAACGGTGCTTCTCTATCGAACTGCTTTTTTCGCATGTAGAGTCCGTGTCATACTACCGCAATTATTCGTAATTGGTCCACCCTTTTCTTCTTATGAGGCCTTAATTTCAAAACGAACCACTACAAATGTTAATTTTCATCAGAAAGAAATATTTGCGAGATTTACCGATGGCGGGTATAGTTTTGTATTAGCATTTACCGTCACTTCAATTGCAACCGCTATCCCCAATCGTAAAACGTCCCTCTAAGATTTACACATTATTGTATATGCAAAAAAAATTTTTACAAGGATATTTTCTCGAGGTTAATACAATGCCGAAGATGAGAGCGAGCCACCCTGTAGTGAAAAAAAAACGTAATCTCGGTTTAAGTATTGGAAATAGCAGTCGGGACATCCTGTATGTAAAATCATTCAAATTGTTTCATAGGATCTGAGTAATTTAATTCAAATAGACACAGAAATAGAAGTAAAAATAAACGAGACTGTTTTTCAGGTG